TCTGCCTGGATCCCTGCATGCCGTGGATCCAGGAGCGCAGCCGGAGGGGCCGTGTCCCTGCGGGACACGCGGGTCCTGTCCCTGCACCCAGGTCTGGGGCCCACAGGAGGTTTCTGCCCTGGGGTCCCTGTGGCTCTGGACCCRTCCGCCCCTCCCCACAAGCTGCCCCGTGGGGGGTTATTCCTGGAAAAGCAGCTCGGGAGCTGCCCACTGGATGGGCGCTTAGCCTCCGCGGCCGGTGGGAGCCCGACGAGGGCTCCGGGCTGGTGGCTGGTGACAGTGAAACGGAAAACCAAAGTGGGAAGAGGAGCCGGAGCTTTTGGGAGCTTTTTCTGGAAGAGCCCCCACGTGGGTGAGTTGCAGCTCCCGGCACGGGGGACATTCCCAGCTCCCGGCACGGGGGACATTCCCAGCTCCCGGCACGGGGATGTTCCAGCTCCCGGCACGAGGGATGTTCCAGCTCCCGGCACGGGGATGTTCCAGCTCCCGGCACGGGGGATGTTCCAGCTCCCGGCACGGGGGATGTTCCAGCTCCTGCTTCCTCCTCCTGTCGTGCCTGCTGCTATTCCCGAGTCTTGGAATGTGCCCAAAAGCTGGGCCAGGGTGGCGGGGGCGGCCAGGAGCTGCGTGCCCCCCCTCGGCCCGCGCTCCATGGGGCTGGGGCCGGCTCCAACGGGGAACTTCCCCCTTCCCGGAGCAGAAGGGGTTGCGATTCGGGAGCGGCTCCGGCTGCGGCTCAGCTTTATTGGCGCCGGTCCTGCCGGGAAGGGGGGTCCTCGGAGCGCCCCGCTCCTGCGGGCTCCGTGTGTGCCGCTCCCCGGCTCCGGCGCCCGTCCCCAATCTCCCGGGCCGGTGGTTCGGGCAGAGGGAGGCGCCGCCGTCCCGGCCCCGGCACCACCTCTCACTGCTCCTCCTTCTCCTCCTCTTCCTCCGGGAGCTTCTTGCGGGCGAAGAAGCCCAGCTGGGGCGAGAGGGAGAGGATGGAGCGAGGAAGGCCCGGCGGGCGCCCGCCCCGGCCCGGCTCTCACCTTCCAGAGGCCGAAGATGATGAGCGCCAGCAGGAGCAGCCCCCCGACGATGCTGCCCACCAGGATCCAGAGCGACACGGGCACCCGCTTGGCCTGCAGGATTTCCAGCTCCATCTGCGAGGAGAGACCGGCAGCATCAYGGAGGAGGCACCCGGTGCCTGTTCCCATTCCCATTCCCATTCCCGTTCCATTCCCGTTCCCGCTCGTACCTCGCGCCGCTGCCCCGGCCCCTCCAGGACGAACAGGCTGTGGGCGCTGGGCAGCAGGGAGAAGGTGCTGACGATCCTCACGCTCCTGAATCGAGCCTGAGCGAGCGGGGAGGATGATGAGGGTGAGCGGGGAGGATGATGAGGGTGAGTCGGGAGGACGGTGAAGGTGAGTGGGGAGGATGATGAGGGTGAGTGGGGAGGACGGTGAAGGTGAATGGGGAGGATGATGAAGGTCAGTGGGGAGGATGGTGAAGGTGAGTGGGGAGGATGGTGAAAGTGAGTGGGGAGGATGATGAAGGTCAGTGGGGAGGATGGTGAGGGTGAGTGGGGAGGATGATGAGGGTGAGTCGGGAGGACGGTGAAGGTGAGTGGGGAGGATGATGAGGGTGAGTGGGGAGGATGGTGAAGGTGAGTGGGGAGGATG